CGACGACGAGGAGCCAGGGGACCCAGACGAGGAGGAGGAGGAGGCGGAAGAGGAGGGGGAGGAGGAAGAGGAGCCGGACCCCGAGGCCCCCGACCACGGCTCTCTGCCTCGGTTCGTGCCGCGCTTCAACTTCACCCTGAAGGACCTGACCCGCTTCGTGGATTTCAACATCAAAGGGCGCGACGTGATCGTGTTCCTGCACATCCAGAAGACCGGGGGCACCACGTTCGGCCGGCACCTGGTGAAGAACATCCGGCTGGAGCAGCCGTGCAGCTGTAAGGCGGGCCAGAAGAAGTGCACCTGCCACCGGCCCGGCAAGAAGGAGACCTGGCTCTTTTCTCGCTTCTCCACGGGCTGGAGCTGCGGGCTGCACGCCGACTGGACGGAGCTCACCAACTGCGTGCCGGCCATCATGGAGAAGAAAGACTTTCCCCGCAACCACAGCCACACCAGGTACCGTCCCCGGCCCCGTCGGGCTCCCTGCCACCTCTCCCCCCCGCCCCCCCCTCCCACTCCTCACCCCTGGCCGCCCTGTCCCCGCGCTGTCTGGGCGGGCTGGGCTGGTAGTTCCTCCAGCGTCTCTCAGAGGCCAGGGCAGAGGCTTTGGGATGGCGATAAGAAACCTCTGGATAGTTCCCTGGTCTTGCAGACACCCCCCCTCCAACTCCCTCCACCCCCCCACTCCCCTCTTCGCCCTCTTTGCTTCCTTCAAATGTGTGGGGAGCCATTTGTGTGTCTCCTTCCTTGTGCCCAGCATGGTGTGGTGTCTCTCTGAAAAATGCTTGGAAAACCTTGGAATGGCGAGGAGGCCTGAGTTAGATGAGCGAGGTAGAAGCTTGTACTTAACTTCTGTGAGTGGAAACCCAAGTCCAGTAAAAGACAGAGGAGGGAGTTGGGGGTAGAGAAGCAGGGCAGGAGTTTTCCAGGCATGGTGAGGCCGAAGAGGAGTCTGATTCCTCCATAAGTGGCTCTTAGGTGGCTGCTCGCCAGCTCAGGAAACCATCCTCTTGATGGCACTTAGAAGATACATGTTCAAATTCCTGCTCCTACCTTGATAACCCTAATTCTGGAAATGGTTTTTGTTGCTGAGCAATGCCAGGATTGTGAATGCTGCTCTCAGCAAGATTTCCACTTTCCCCCAGGCCAATCCATCAACTCATTCAAAAAGTATTTGTTAAATGCCTACCGTGTGCCTGGCAATGTGCTAAATGCTAAGTGGATACAAAGATATAGTAAGTAAAATCCCTTCCTTTCAGGATAGAATGGCCTTTTCCCCCTCCCCCTGTTAAATAGTGATACTGCTGAGAATTAGGAAAGTTTGACATCTTAATAGCCAATGAAACTGCTTACATTATTAACATCCTTTGAGAGAGACATGGGTTTAAGAATTTGGTTGAATGTTCTTTCTGCCCATTGCAATTTGAAGATTAATCTGACATGCTTGCTCAAGGGACTGAAATATTAAAAGCTTGGAACACTAGTTTATTGAAGTTTTTATCTCAAAGGTTTCAAACAATTTGGTGTAAGGAAATAGGAATTTAAAAACTCAAGCTCAATATGTTGATATCAGATAGCTTTTGCATTTGACATTATGGAAAAGCTCCATTTACTGGCAGCTACCCAGATTCTAGAATTCACCACCACTGAAGCATCTAATTCTACTTCATTTCTCCAAGAATGAGCAAAATTTCATTATGGGATTTTTTACTCTGGCAGTTTTTCAAATGCTTTCTCTCCTCCCTGCTCCTTTCCCTGTTTAATGGAAATTGGTGAGAATAAAAAATAGACTTGGAATGAAGGCATTAGACTTAGTGTATTTTATGGATATTTTACTTTTAAGTATTTCTAACTGTGTAGTATTTTAGATCCTGCCCCTCTATTTTAGCTTAAGACAATTTTCCAATTAATTATTACTTCTACACTTCCTAACAAACAAAACTATTATTTCAGTGAGAGGGAATCTCTGCTGCGTTTTACCCAAAGTTGTACTTTTCGGACTTAGACCGTTATGTATTAATTCCTGAATGACCACAAAGAGTTTGATAGTCTGATTCCCATTTCACTCAAACTAGAGACGTTGCTTATCACATAGAAATGTCTAATGACCCTTTGGTAGGTATCAGTATTATTTTGTACTGATGTATGTAAGTCTTAGTGAATAGGTTTAAGATTTTGGAGGAATTAGAGATTATGGAACCTAAAAATAATGGGATTTTTGCTTAATGGTGAAATGAGGCTGCTGCTACAGACCCAGCATAGATTATAGCAGTAAGGCCTCACTTCTGAAGGAAATACTCAATACCTCTCTACTCTGTGATGTAGGAAAATTCCACCTTGACTATTTGGACATATGATTTCTAATGCACAGTCCAATGCTTTTCTTTGTTTAGCAATGGGCCACAAGCATTCACTTCTTCCTGATTCTCAAGTTACCAGATAATCACCCTGCACTGATTCACTTATTTTTTTAAATTCTAATTTGTGTGTGTGTGTGTGTGTGTGTGTGTGTGTGTATTGGGGGAATAGTACTTCTTATAATCTTTCTTCTTTTTCTTTCTCTCCCTTTTCTGGTACTCTAAATTACTTTTCTTCTCTAGATGCTGTAGGAAGGAATATGTGAGGTGCCTTGCATCAAAAGCTATGGAGAAAAAAATTGAAGAGATGTTCAGTAGCATCTTCCTCACACAGAAGATTGAATTAGTTGTCTGTCATTGGAATGTCTGTGTACGACATTCTACACTCAACTAGATTAGCCTGGATAATGGAGGGTACATTTCCACAATGCAAAATGGCAGATAATCTATTGCTACATAATGGGAACAAGGTTCTTCTTCAAATAGAGCTGACTCAAAGCCAAATCGAGTAGAGCATGGTGATTTTAGTTTCCTACTCTCTTAGCTTTTGGTACCCCTCTTGGGCACCCCATTCCCAATTTCCCATAGGGATCAGTGCTTTTGTGAGTCATGTAATTGGTCGGATCAAGGATTCTGGATTCAGATGGATACGGCTCCTGTGCTTACTAGCTGTACAACCAGAAGTAATTTATTATTTCTGAGTCCCAGATTCTTCATCTTTAAACATAAGTATGTAGCTATTAGTACTTCTATCACAGAGGTGTTATGAAAACTAAGTGAGAAAATGCATTCAAAGTGCTTAATGTAGTACATATTCATAGTATAATATACTGGTATAAAGTTCTTAATATTTAATATGCAAGTATATAGTAACACTTAGACATTAGTTGTTAACTATAATAAGAATATTTTCTCTAGTAGAAGGATATGAGGTCAGTTCCTTAGAGCTTCTCAGTGTAAATAGTCCCCAGTAATTTATAGAGATGCCTTTTATGATTGTTTATATTGAGACAGAATCCTAAATTCAAAACACCAGAAATAAATGGAAAATTATGGACATTTGGGCATCAGCCATTGCAGGGGACAAGATGGGAAACAAAATCATTGAGTATATCTTCTGTTGGTGACAAGAAACACTGTCTGGAATGGTGAGAGGTGGGAAGCTAACTCTAAAGGGAGATGAATAAGACCCAGGAAGGAGAAAGGCTTGGTGGCTGGCATTTTGGATCCAGCATCAGGGGCATTTCTGACCACCAAAATTTGTTAGAACAAGATAGGAAACTAACAGGAAGATGACATACTTGAAGACCTCTTTTATCATATCATTGAAGATTGCTTCTCATTATATTCTTTTGCTTTCTTCTCTCTCCAATTACATATTTCTTTGTTATGGTATGTTTCCCCCCTAAGCATACGTAGTTCTTTTGAAGACTCTTCTTTAGCGTTGTTGAGTATTGATAGAATCATAACATTTTATGGCTAAAAAAAGACTGGAGAGATAATCTTGTCCTACAATTTATGTGGTGAGTCGGTAATCTAATCTTAAGGATGTGAAATGATATGTTTTTTTCCAGGGCGCTCATGTCTTCATTTTAGTAAGTTTATTCAATGTTTTGCCTACTGTTTACTATGAAAAGTATAGTGGAGAGTGTCTTATTCACCTACTATGTGCTAGGCACTCTGAGGTTCTAGGAATACAGTTTTGGACAAACAATGTCAGCCCTATGAGCTTAGGCTCTTCAGGAAAATAGACCTTAATCCTCTTGTAAGTGAGTATCACTCTAATTCTGAAATTATGCTGGAAAGAGATTCCATCCAAACCTTTCGTAGGGTGGAATGGCAGTTTTTCTTTTTTATGATCTGCATTCTGTTCGTCCTAGTAGAGTAGTTTGAACCTTATGGATATTGTATTAGACAGGACATTCTGTGCTGCAAATGGTACAACTCTAATGCAAACTTGGTTCAGTCAGGGGGAATTATTGGTTTAAACCAGGAAATAGGAAAGTTAGGGGTAGAGTTGGTTTCAAAAATGACTGGAACTAGAGAATTGAAATCTTTCTCCCCACTTTCTTTGCACATGGACCTCATTCTGTCAATTAGCTTATTCTACAAAATGGGTAAATGGCTGTCATATCTAATACCTCCACAAGCTGAGAGGGAAGCAGGTCTTGTCTGAGTTTTAGCTTGCAATCTTGGGGAACGACTCTTTATAGCCCAGTTTGGAACTTGTGACTATTCATTTGAAGCAAATCAATTGGCCAGGGAGATGAGGTTGACCTTGTATCACAGATCCACCCCATGACTGATGTCTGTGAGTGAGTGACTGTGTGTGTGTGTGTGTGTGTGTGTGTGTGTGTGTGTGATCACAAGAATAGCATAGACATGGCTCCTGGGTGGACCATTGGGTTCTTAACTTCTGGACAGTCCTTCCAATTGTGTTAATTATAGATAAATAAAGGGGAAATAAATGAAACTTCAGTTCTCTTCTTTGCATTTTATATTCTATTTAGTACACATTAAAAATGAGAGAGAGAGAGAGAGAGAGAGAGAGAGAGAGAGAGAGACAGACCTTTTGGTGTATGGGATGATGCTCCTACCAACTGAACCACACTGGTCAGGGCATACCAAATAAATTTTAAGTCAAGCTACAGCTCTTATTTATTTGTAACATCTGGGAACCATGTCATATGAGGATTAATCAAAGGAACTGATAATATTTAATAAGGAGATGGGAAAAATAGACATAAAAGTTGTCATTAAATGCTCAATGGGGGAAGATGTGGAAGATGAAGGAGACTTGTTTAATATTTCTCCAAAGGACAGAACTAGCATAAGTGAGATAGGAGTGATGGGATAAGGATTTCAACTCAGAGTAAAAAGAACTTTATACAATTTGTAACTGTCTAAAATGAGAATGAACCCTTTTGTGAAGTGGCATGCTCCACAGCAGTGAAAACTTTAGACATGGATGATTAACTACTGATGTTGTAAAAGGAAATCATTCCTGGGCCAACATATGGCCTTTTATTTTAAGGCTTGCATTCTAATCTAAGGGTATCTTCCTCCTCCCCTTTTCTGTCCCAGGCAAACAAAACAAAA